GCGTCCAACTCAAAGCGCATACTATTTTAAGGGTCAATTTAGTGAAGTAAAATTTGTTCGGAAATCTTGACATAAAATTCCTCGTGATAATATGGTTTGATACTCCTTATGAAAAATTCATGTCATGAAATTGACAAAGACAAAAGTCTCTTGGCATTATTTATCAATAATGAAGAAATCCTTAACTGATTTAACGGAAGCTGTCGATGATGCACTTCTAGCTGAGCATGTGCAAACCTATTTTATTTTATTAAACACATTTGTCTTTTCAACTGATGAGAGAAAGTACATTCACGCTGTATACACGTAACTTTATCGGAAAGCAAGTGCTCGCATTTATTCATAATCAATAACAGCTTCCAAAGAACACTTCAATCATCGTTACTAGTTAGTACTTTAGTTTGAATTCTCCTTATAGTACCCTCTAAGCCCGTTTCTCTTTATTCAAATCAAACTGGGAACAGAAATATTGCATAAGGTTATGTTACGATAGTTATATGTTTTGCTTGCAATGTTTTGTGTAAATTCAAAACGACAAGAATGTGTGTGAAATCAGACTCACTTACACTATGTTGTCGGTCTACAGCTTGGTCCTGTATATTTTTATTTCCTACGGAGAGACTCAGATATTACGCTATTTGGTCGTAGATACACAGGACAATGTTATACTAGGCTACTCCAGGAATAATGAATTTTCCATATTGATAAAAAAAATACAGTCATATAAATTATAAAATGGATAATTTGGAAAGGAATGGATGATAAAAAATATAATAACATAACAACCAGCAGTTAGAGATATAATGGAAGCTAATAGTGAATTATAAGATAAAATTGATAATTGTGATATGTAGGAACAAAAAGGAAAAAGGGGCAAATAATCATATTGATCAACAAAAAGCTTTAGATAGATCAAAATGGAATTGAGTAAGTCACTGCTTTAAAGCTTTCAAATTTGGTAAATTATATTGCAATTGGATTAAAATGTTACAGTATAAGATAATGTCAAAACATGTATTGAAACAAATTATTTCACTTCCAAGTCCTTCCCTATATCCAGGGAAGTGCGTCATGGATGCCTGATAGCGCGTTAATGAACATAATCCAAGCAAAGCCTTTGCTTGTACTATTCGAGCTAACTCCGTAAAACGTATAAAATTACCAAATCAAAATATTTCAGAAGTAAAACTTAATGGATTTGCTGATGATCTTCAACATATACACAAGACTGAAGAATCAATAAGAAAGTCTTTTAATATAAAAATATATGAAAAAGCATCAGGCTCAAAACTTCATTTTGTAAAACACGAGCTAAAAACATAGGGAAACAGCATTAAGGGGAATGGCAACAACTGGTTTACCCGTTGTCAGTATGATGTGACCGGGCGGAATGCTGTACTTGGTACCTTCGGCATGGCATTTCAGTGAGATAGCACTATGAAGTTGGCATCAGTCTCGCGCTACCACAAGGAGTCAAGCACACCGATATACCCTGTCTCCTGCATACACACACGCAAGCACGCATACACTACACACATGGAGGCATGTCCTTAAATGACCTTAGCTGTTAATAGGACGTTAAACAAAATGAAACCAAACCAAACCTAGGGAAACGGAAAAATAAAACCATTTTCATTCAAATCAAATGGACCAAAAACTCTAGGAGTCCATCGTGGATATAATATAGACATTTGTAAAGAAAAGATTCAAAACTTAAGAACTGATTATATGTACATAATAATAAACAGAACTCTCACTCATAAGGGTAAGAATAAATATGGCTGATATTGATGTATTTATACAAAATAAAAATTCTTCCTGCAGAATATTATTACATGTATTACCAATGCTTAACGGCCCTTCAACACAGGATAGGTCATTAGGGCCAACAAATGGTCGACAAAAAACAAATGCTAAATAAAAAACATCAAGCCAAACTTAAAAGTAAAAGACAAACGTCAAATTGAATATTCAGAAATTTGATAGATTTTGTAATAAACGGTTCATTTGTTCATGTTCCTGTCTAGAAGGTATTAATTTGAATAACATTCCAAAATTGTGTTAACATTGTACTAAATCTTGGTTACGTTTTAGAGCTAGAATCCTAATCAATAGTAAAAGTAAAGTCTTAAACCAGAAATTATTCAGAAATTCACTTTTTAAGGTTAACTCTTAGTCCCTGCACTACACATCATTTCAACAAATAACTTTAACAACATCAAAAGATATTACAAAGAATGTTAGGAAAACTCAATTGGATATCAAAATCACAACAATTGAGAATCAATCGCACATAAGTATCAACAAATACTTACAAATGATGTGTACCAAGATAAGGAGTGCTTCATTAATTGTGAATTACAACTCATTGATAAAAATAACGTAACAAAATTGTCACATTATCATTCTACATAGAACGTTTCAAGAAAATAAGATACACAAAATAGTTAGTGTCTAACTGAAAACCTAACGCAGAAATAAAATGGGAAGATTACTATCGTTCTAGAAAAAATCAAATACAAAACTGGGGAACTATTTGGACAAAAACTAAGCATCCTGCAGTTTCTGCAAACAATTAAAGCATTTCGATTGGAATTTTATTCATAGGACTGTATTTACTGAAGCAAAATTACAATAAATAATTAGATGTGACAAAAAAAGTCATTTTTGTGAAAACTTAGCATCACAATGTCATCAGATTTACAATTGTAATTATGTACAGCAGTTCATATTACATGAAGAACTTCATCTGATAATCCTTTCTTGAAATGGAAATCAATTGACATTATTAGAAATGAAAAGAAATATTTTCTTGAGGATTTTGAAGACGACCAAAATATTTCATTTTACACGTTTACAAGAAATATGAAATATACAATTTTAAAACTTCGAAATATAGTGACATACCAAAACAAGAACATCACTAATACCTCTGCTTTTGCAATATTTAACGAAATTTTATAACTTAATATAGGAACTTATCTTAGGACAACGAAACCAATAAATGAGGATATTTTATGCCATCAAATAATCACTAATAATAGGTAGTAGTATATGTACATTTATCACATAATCGGCCTGTTATCCAGTGAATTCGCCCGTGTAATATTTTTACATATGTCACTAGTGTAATGTACCCTGGAGCGTTTTGTATTGGCTATGCCAGTCAGAAATCGATTGTGACGTCATAATATGGACATTGACGTGACACTATAAATTGTGAATTGTGCAACAAAATGTCTGTCTCAGTTTGATTAAGCCCTCTACATTTTGGCTTTAAAACTTGTCAAAATGTAAGTTTTCCGAGTTATGTGATAAAAGGTATCTTCAATTCTTTTTTATTTCATATGGGCTTTTATAAAACTCGTCTCAAAGTTTTAACTTTTGCTCGCCAAGGCTCGCACACAAAAACCTCCTAAGACTCGTTTCATAAAATCTCATGAAATGAAAACTCATTTAAGATCCTATATGTATGTTGATAAAGTGTCACTATGATAGTGTAACTCTGCTAAATATAGTGTAACTATTAGTATAAATACAACTGAAGTAATAGAAATTAATATTATTATAAAGTGTAGCCATGGTAACAGAAGTATGGTTATATAGCTTAACTATGGTAATATATAGTAACTATTGTAATATTGTATAACTGTGGTGCTATAATGTAACAACGTGTTACTGAACTGATTTACTGTAACTGCTGATAAAGTATAATTGTGGTCATATAGTGTCACTATGGTGATAGAAGTGTCACCATGATGATTAATTATAACGGTGGTGATTAGTGTAACTTGAGTAATATATCGTAACTACAGTTATAACGTGTATCCCTGGTGATAAATTGTAACTATGGTGATACAGTCTCAATTAAAGATGTGCTAACATAGTGTTACTGTGGTCATATAGTGTTACTATGGTAATGTAGTGTAAATATGGTAATTGAGATTAACTATGGTAGTATAGTGTACTTATGGTTATATCGTGTAACTGTGATATGTAATTTAGAGTAACTATGTTAATAGTGTAAATATGGTAATGTCATGTAACTGATATGATACAATGAAAATAATTATGGTAATGAAGTACAATTGTGGCATCACCATATTGATAGCTTGTAATTGTGGTGATAAGTGTAAATATGGTTACGTTGTGTAATTATGGTTATAACGTGTATTGTGGAGATATATTGAATAATGGTGATACTGTGATAGAGTGTAACTGTTGTAGTATGGTGTAACTATGGTCACATATTGTAACTATTGTAGTATGGTGTAACTATGGTGATATAGTGTAACTTTAGTAATTAAGAGAAATTGTGATGAGATTGTGTAACTTTGATATGATGACAGAGTGTAACCATGCTGACATAGATAACTGTTGTCACAGTGTAACTATTGTAATATGGTGTATCTATGGTGATGTAGAGTAACAATAGTAATTAGGAGTTAATAATGTAATGAAACCATCAAATTTAGATCCCATGAGTGATCGTGAACATACAGTGTGTGCCCTCAGTGTGTAGCCTAGTCAATCATGTTTATAGCTCGCTTGATGTGATAAAAGTTGATATGATCAGCACAGAGATTAAGCTCTCGAGATGATTGATCAGGCTAACAGGCACTAAACCGAATTATTTTGTAACCCCTGCAGAATTGAGGATTTGCTTTACTTTTGGCTTGAATGTTGAGCGTTCGTTCACGTGAGGAAGGTTATGGGTTTTGTCCGCAGGCCGGGATATACCAAAGTCCTTAAAAATGGTAGTTGTTATTCCGTGCTTAACGTTCAGCATTTAGGAGAATGGCAACAACTGGTTCACCTGTTGTCAGTATAATGTGACCGGACGGAATGCTGTGCTGGGTGTCTTGGGCATGGCATTTCAGTGAGAAAGCATTATAAAGTCGGAATCAGATCCGCGCTATCACAAGGAGGCAAGCACTCCAACATACCCTGTCTCCTGCATACACACATAGAGGCACGTCCTTAAATTACCTTAGCTGTTAATAGGACGTTAAACAAAATTAAACCAAACTAAACTTATTAAACCTTGTTGTTAAAGTAAAATAAAACATGAATACGTTATCCCATAGACAGTCGGCTTTATGTAAAATATGTGGTCTGCAGGTTAGTTATATAATGTCAAAAAAAGAGCATTGCATGTGTTATATATACAATGTCGAACATTGTGTAGCTAATGTCTTATACAATGTCCAACATTTTGTATTTTCGAAATTATTTTGACTTTTAATTTTGCTCAGGGCTGTAGGTGGGGTATATATCATGTAAGTTGGTCTTAAAAACATAGTGGTATAAGTTTATGTATTAGATTCATATTATTTTTTATATTTTAGAATAAACAAAGATGGGGATCATTATTTGATCAATATTTTCTTTATTTACTAATGTTTTTCTTCTAAAATACAATACAGAATGAAATGCGATGTCTTGGAATGTAAGAGGCATGGTGCAACATTGTGGTGAAAGATAAAAATATAATATTAAGTAAGGTATTTATGAATAAATATAAGAATGACAGATGCAAGATTATTATTTTGTATATTAAAAGAATGGCGTTGTTTGCAAGACCCCCTAAGTAAGAACAACAGATTGTACGGGAAGCTATTTCCAGGATGCTCAGCCCTGGAAGCTCTCATATATATATTCTTTTCATTCTGAGCAAGTTCACTTTTGTTTAAAAAAAATCTCTCAGTGAAAGCGAAACTATACTGTTGCATAAAACGTTAAGTTATATAGCAGATGTAAACAAAATATAACTATGTCGTGTCCGCTGAATCATTACAGCATATTGTGAGCGAGAAGGAAACAGTCCAAATTACATACGCCACAGTGCCTGTTTTTCGGAATGCCGTTTACCATGGCCAAAGCGTTTCCCATCTGTTTTGTTGTAGTAAAGAACACACTACCGAACCACAGCAAATCCGCGACAGGTAAGTCCTCAGTGTAGAATACTTCTACTGTAACGTTCATTGTTACTTGGACAATTTCAGTGAAACCGTATCTCATGAGAAACGGGTTGTTGGTCTGGTCAACCAGCACGAGTCGTTCACTACAGTAGTGGTCAGTCGGACTGCCCTTGACCGTAAGGACCAATTGGACCTTGTGATTTAAATAGTGACAGTAGAAGTCAGAGAAATACATGTTCATGTTGCGGTTCAACAGGACGAATGTGGGGACATGTAACCTTACTGGCCCGAAAAAGGAAAAGTCTGGAGGAAAACATGTCACCGGGTCCACGGCTGCGCTGAAGAACAGACCCTGTACTTGTTTGTTGAGTGTGGAGGCCTGATCTCCTCCGAAGTTCTTGTCGTACTTGTGCATCAAACCATCTGTATTCATGATATTGTTAAAGTACTCCTTGGACTTATTGCGATAGAAATGAGAAATATTGAAATAGTTGGGCGGTCTTCTTAAAACGAAACGTGTCGCCTTGATGTAAAGTTCGAACACCTCATTTTGCGTCATATCTGAAATAAACATAGCTTTTTACAGGGTCAAGTGTGACGTGTTGTTCTACATGCATACATGTATATCTCTAAGCCAGAATGGAGGCTGTCACGCTTTGAAGTGCAGATTGCTTAATAGTAATGTTAAAAATATGTTTTGCCTGTTTTTTAGTATGAATATACTAACAGAAATGTTGTGTTTAGTGTCAGAGAACGTTAATGTTATACAGGTATTTTTCAATATATCTAAACCGGACTACTTTTGTATGAAACAGCCACTTTACTGTTCAGAACAGTATTTGAGACAATTATACAAATTTGTTCACAAGTGCATTTCTTTGATATAATCTGTGTTTGTATGAATAGGCAAACAGAGTTCGTTATTATTCTTTATACACTTACGTGCAGTAAAAGTTGTTACGGTTGAGTGTGAATTTCCAATAAAAAACACGTCATTCATGACGTATCTCGTGCAGACTCTGAACAGCTGTAGTTTATACTCTGTGGCGGGGTTTAGATCGAAGGGGATCTCATACGTTGTTTCTGAACCGTGGTATATCATTATACATGCGGCTGGAGGGTGAGTCTGATACAGAGTGATAATAAAGGCGTCCGTGTGTTCGCCCCTGTGCTGTAGGTCTGTCAACATGTACCGCCGTGGGCCGGTACTGACTACAGTTACATGGTAGGATTCCTGAAGTGAGAAAACGGGTAAATGCAATATAACTATGACAACATGTACAATTCATGACATTTTAAATAACTGTCCTTTATACATATTTCTGGCTGGTAAAAAATGATATGTTTGTGGAACCTATTCAGTTGGAAGAGACAACTAATATGGGAACACCTGCATAATTGTGCACTCTGCTTCGAGACAATAAAGCGACCAAAATAAATCTGAAACACCCACTGCAAACTTATCCTTGTAACCCTATCCTTTTTTACTCCATTCTTTCTACCAACTTTTTAATTTCCAAGCGCCAAGCAATATACCAAATGGGGAAGGCAATGGGTTCTGTGCCAGAACGGGATATACAAAAAGACCTTTAAAATGGTAGTTGCCATCCCTACTAAATATTCAGCACTAATGGTACATATAATTACAATTTAACTGTTTAACATAACGTATCATTTTTGTAATGATAGTGTTAGGTTTGGTTTGTTTTTATTTTGTTTAACGCCCTACTAACAGCCTAGGTCATTTAAGGACGTGCCACTCCATGCGTGTTGTGTATGCGTGCTTGCATATGTGTGTGCAGGAGACAGGGTGTGTTGGTGTGCTTGCTGCCTTGTGATCGGATCTGATACTGACTTTATAGAACTATCTCACTGTAAGGGAGTGCCGATGTCACCCAGCACAACATTCCGCCCGGTCTCATTTTACTGACAACGGGTGAACCAGTTGTTGCCATTCCTTTTAATGCTGAACGTTAAGCAGGGAATAACAACTACCATTTTTAAGGACCTTGGTATGTCCCGGCCTGGGGACGGAACTAATTGCCTTCCTCAGCTCAGCATTAGAGCCAAAATATTTATATATAGGTTTTGCCAAGCAATGCGCTAGTAAATAAAGGGAAGTTAAGAGAATACAGAAATCTAAAAATCCCAAATATTGCAATGGGTGCAGCAGATTTATTATTGATCATTTTTGTGTCTCGAAATAGAGGACACAATAGCAAATCCCCAATTCTGCAGTGGGTCCCCACCTATATCGCCTTTAACGATGGATGCAGTGGATAACAGCAGAGGTATCCTTTTCTCGATCTCCGACCTGCAGGGTTTTGATGGTGTATTAGTGAAGTTGCAGTCCAAGGCTGGTATCAGATCCGCTCTATCGATAAGAGGCAACTGTCCGTCTTTTACACACTCACATATATATATAACACACATGGTGGCTCGTCATTAAATTACTAATATTAAATTGTTTCACATAAATAAGATCGGGACTAAATTATTAAAAATAGTATCAATTTCATAATTTGCGGTGAACTTAAGACAAGGTTTTCTTCCATGTCTTTTGCTTGGGGAAAATTGAAGAAAGACGAAGGAGATGCACCTATAAAATAGATACTGTTGATAATACTAACTCATACATTCATTAACAAAGATGATTTGCTGCCCGTAGGGCAGTATTTGGATCTGTGTGTTTTCTTTTCTCACTTCCCTACCAACTCTTATTTAACGGTAGGCTCTCCCTAGGTACCGGACTTAACATGGCCTTAGCCTTTGATGGGACTTCAAACCTCATCCCATATAAACAAATTAACAAGGGCTAAAGGTTATGGCAGAAATAAGCAGATTTATCTGTAACCTATTGGCCTGTGAGAATATCGTGTGAAGCCAGAAATATTACCATTTAAGGGCAAATTAAATCTATATCATTGGGAAGAGAAACAAAAACATGTTTAATTGTTACCTACGTGCATCCTACGCTGGCCTGTCTATTGATATAACACATCTCTCCGAAAACAAAATTCATTTACCTTTTTCGAATCATCTGCTACAAAATCTTGGTATGTTCTTATAGGTTGTGCAGTCATCATCAGATCAGTGTAATTCAGGCCTGTGTATCAAAAATATGCAGCAATTCGATTTTCAGTTATAACCATACATATGTGCATATTTTTTGTAAATCAAACGGCTATTACTTTTGCAATTTTACCAAGATAATCAATGGCGTTTATGATTTTGTCAGTGCAAATTAAAAATCTACTAATTTACCTAGTGAAGATACTCATAAATATAGAGATGATAGATAGTTGAGGTTATTATCAAATGATATCATTAACAACAGTTACCATCTCTAAAGAGCACTGTTTTCTTGTCTCCAGTCAGGACGGTGTACCAAAGACGATTGTTCACACCAGACATGCGTACACCGTGTACAGTTACTGTTGCTGTGGACGCTTCCAATACGTCATATGGGCACATGAAGTTACGGATCTCAGAGGCACGACTATTTCTGATAAATGTTTGAAATATCGCGTGAGTTTTCAAATTGGTTACTTGCAACAGAAGAAATTCTAGATCAGGTTCGTTTGCGCGTTTGATGTCTATACGGAATGTTGATGGCGTTTGGACTCCTTGGCCCCACAGGATAACCGAAGTCACTATCTGAAAAATGTAATAAACACATATGTTATATGGGAATAGCCAAGGTTCGGACGCTCGTAGGGTAAGATATTCCCCTGGTCAGGATATCACATGGGGATTTCTCGGAGTACTCGCACACTAACAGTTCATTGTATTTGAAGAATGAGTCACTGAATTTGAAGTTAGGAAGCGCTAATTATAGTTCAAGTAGTTTGGAAAATATGTACAATGGCAGCAATTGGAAAGGTACTTATCACCCTTTATTACGCCACAAGTGTTTAACTTTTGCTTCATCTGAATGTATATTTGAAGCTTAAAACAGCATGTTATGTAACATTGTAACTGTTCTGTATCAACCTGATACGTGAAACTTCTGGGACCTAATCTACCAGCAGAATCCTATAAAATAGACCAAACATCTTGTAAGACATGCAAGGATATGTTCAATATACGTATTCTGCACATACAATGCTGTTTAGTGTACGAACACGAGTGCAATGCTGTTAACAAACACATAAGCTTACTGAAATTTACCCTCGTGGCATCCAAGAAGTTTTGAACATGACGTAAAGGAGTTTTTTTAAGTTAGCGACCAGAGCTGTTGGTTTAGATTGCTAGACAACCCTTACTTAGGTATTTCTATAATATTCTTTACTGAATGTACTGTGTTATTTACACATCTGTGATCAAACCTTGTTTTTTTTTGGGGGGGGGGGTTAACATATACAAACATCCATTAACTCAAGTTAATTATTTATACATGTGTGTATCATCCTACCTTGTCATGCAGGTTCCATTTCTCACGCTGCCATTGGTTATAGACTGCCCTGTCGACGACTTCATCAGAGGTTTGAACCTCATTCGACTTCAGCACATTTGGTCGAATACTTGAGGACACGGTTGTTGCCGTACTCGTATTGATCTGTATGTGCTTCAATGATGTATGAGCACATTGTTCAGAACATGTCACTTGAACATTCTCTTGTACACTATTAGAGTCCATGAACGAGAAAGCACTCGTGGAAGCAGCTCTTGACTTGGAGAAAGATTTTATGAAACTAGATTTGTTGGACATGGTAGACACTTTGGTTGTAGGGTTTGTACTAGCTTTGTGGGACATGGTAGACACTTGGGTAGTAGAGTTTGTACCATATTTGTTGGACATGGTAGACACTGGGGTTGTAGAGTTTGTACTGGATGTGTTTGCTGTGGTATACACTTGGGTTAGTGTGTTTGTACTAGATTTGTGGGACATTATAGACACTGGCGTTGTAATGTTTGTTCCAGATTTGTTGGACATGGTAGACACAGGGGTTGTAGTGTTTGTACCAGATTTGATGGATGTGGTAGACACTGGGATTGTACTAAATTTGATTGACGTGGTAGACACCGGGGTTGTAGTGATTGTACTGGATTTGTGGGACATGGTAGACACTAGGGTTGTTGTGTTTGTACTAAATTTGTGGGACTTGTTAGACACTGGGGTTGTAGTGTTTGTACTAGATTTGTGGGACATGGTAGACACTAGGGTTGTTGTGTTTGTACTGGATTTGTGGGACATGGTAGACACTGGGGTTGTTGTGTTTGTACTAGATTTGTGGTACTTGTTAGACGATGGGGTTGTAGTGTTTGTACTGGATTTGTTTCCCGTGGTTGACACTGGGGCTGGTGTGTTTGTACTAGATTTGTGGAACTTATTAGACCCTGGGGTTGTAGTGTTTGTACTAGATTTGTGGGACATGGTAGACACTAGGGTTGTTGTGTTTGTCCTGGATTTGTGGGACTTGGTAGACACCTGGGTTGTTGTGTTTGTACTAAATTTGTGGGACTTGTTAGACGATGGGGTTGTAGTGTGTGTACTAGATTTATGGAACTTGTTAGACACTAGGGTTGTAGTGTTTGTACTGGATTTGTGGGACACGGTAGACACCGGGGTCGTAGTGTTTGTACCAGATTTGATGGACGTGGTAGACACTGGGGTTGTAGTGTTTGTACCAGATTTGTTGGCCACGGTATACACCGGGGTCGTAGTGTTTGTACCAGCTTTGATGGACATTGTAGACACTGGGGTTGTAGTGTTTGTACCAGGTTTGTGGGACACGGTAGACACCGGGGTCGTCGTGTTTGTACCAGCTTTGATGGACGTGGTAGACACTGGGGTTGTAGTGTTTGTACCAGATTTGTTGGACACGGTATACACCGGTGTTGTAGTGTTTGTACTATATTTGTGAGACTTGTTAGACACTGGGGTTGTAATGTTTGTACCAGATTTGTGACACAATGTAGACACCGGTGATGTAGTGTTTGTACTAGATTTGTGAGACTTGTTAGACATTGGGGTTGTAGTGTTTGTACCAGATTTGTAGGACACGGTAGACACCGGTGTTGTAGTGTTTGTACAAGATTTGTGAGACTTGTTAGACACTGGGGTCGAAGTGTTTGTACCAGATTTGATGGATGTGGTAGACACTGGGATTGTAGTTTGTATATTAGATTTGTTGGACCTGGTAGACACTGGGGTCGTAGTGTTTGTACCAGCTTTGATGGACGTGGTAGACACCGGGGTTGTAGTGTTTGTACTAGATTTGTGAGACATTGTAGACACTGGGCTTGTTGTGTTTGTACTAGATTTGTTGGACGTGGTTAACACTGAGGTTGTAGTGTTTGTACTGGATTTGAGGGACATTGTAGACACTGGGGTTATTGTGTTTGTACTAGATTTGTGAGACGTTGTAGAGGCTTGGGTTATTGTGTTTGTACTAGATTTGTCGAACATGGTAGACACCGGGGTTGTAGTGTTTTTTCTAGATTTGTGAGATATGGTAGACACCGGTGTTATAGTGTTTGTACCAGATTTGTTGGACATGGTAGACACCGGGGTTGTAGTGTTTGTACTGGAATTGTGGGACTGGTTAGACATCGGGGTTGTAGAGTTTATACTGGATTTGTTGTACGTGGTAGACATTGGGGTTGTTGGTATGGTATAATATATTTGGGACTTGGTAGACACTGGGGTTGTAGTGTTTGTACTGGAATTGTGGGACTGGTTAGACATCGGGGTTGTAGAGTTTATACTGGATTTGTGGGACATTGTAGACACTGGGGTTATTGTGTTTGTACTAGATTTGTCGAACATGGTAGACACCGGGGTTGTAGTGTTTGTTCTAGATTTGTGAGATATGGTAGACACCGGTGTTATGGTGTTTGTACCAGATTTGTTGGACATGGTAGACACCGGGGTTGCAGTGTTTGCACTGGAATTGTGGGACTGGTTAGACATTGGGGTAGTAGTGTTTGTACTAGATTTGTGAGACATTGTAGACACTGGGCTTGTTGTGTTTGTACTAGATTTGTTGTACGTGGTAGACACTGGGGTTGTTTGTATGGTATTAGATATTTGGGACTTGGTAGACACTGGGGTTGTAGTGTTTGTACTGGAATTGTTGGACATGGTAGACACCGGGTTTGTAGTGTTTGTACTGGAATTGTGGGACTGGTTAGACACCGGGGTTGTAGAGTTTATACTGGATTTGTTGTACGTGGTAGACACTGGGGTTGTTTGTATGGTATTAGATATTTGGGACTTGGTAAACACAGGGGTTGTAGTGTTTGAACTGGAATTGTGTGACTGGTTAGACATCGGGGTTACATTGTAGACACTGGGGTTGTAGTGTTTGTACTGGGTTTGTGGGACACGGTAGACACCGGGGACGTAGTGTTTGTACCAGATTTGGTGGACGTGGTAGACACTGGGGTTGTCGTGTTTGTACTGGAATTGTGGGACTGGTTAGACATCGGGGTTGTAGAGTTTATACTGGATTTGTATGACATGATAGACACCGGGGTTGTAGTGTTTGTACTGGATTTGTGGGATATGGTAGACACCGGGGTTATAGTGTTTGTACCAGATTTGTTGGACATGGTAGACACCGGGGTTGTAGTGTTTGTACTGGGATTGTGGGACTGGTTAGACATCGGGGTTGTAGAGTTTATACTGGATGTGTTGGACATGGTAGACACTGGGTTTGTAGTGTTTGTACTGGATTTGTGGGATATGGTAGTCACCGGGGTTATAGTGTTTGTACCAGATTTGTTGGACATGGTAGACCCCGGGGTTGTAGTGTTTGTACTGGGATTGTGGGACTGGTTAGACATCGGGGTTGTAGTGTTTGTACTAGATTTGTGAGACATTGTAGACACTGGGCTTGTTGTGTTTGTACTAGATTTGTTGTACGTGGTAGACACTGGGGTTGTTTGTATGGTATTAGATATTTGGGACTTGGTAGACACTGCGGTTAAACCTGGGATATTGATAGGAGATTGTGTATAAACTGGTATTGTATATGTTGATTGAATATCGATATTCGACTTGTTACGTAAAGTCTGAGTGAATCCAGAGTTGGTCAGTGTCTTTCCGGTAATAGATAACTTTGCAGGTGAAGATAAATATCCAGATGTCGTCGAGTCGAAAGTTTCGAACAGAACACATTGTTTAGATGGTTCAATCTGATGTGCGGCGTTTACGTCATGTTTTGGAATTGGTGGTGTAGCATTTAATAGTGGGGGTCTAGTATGGAAAGGAAATGGTGTAGAGCTTGGCAAAAGCGATCGTTCAGCCGCTGCAGGGGTACAGGTGGACTGATATATAGCTGGTGTTTTAACGTGGACCGATGTATAGCTGGTGTTTTAACGTGTACTGATATATAGCTGGTGTTTTAACGTGTACTGATATACAGCTGGTGTTTTAACGTGGACTGATATATAGCTGGTTTTTTAACGTGGACTGATATATAGCTGGTGTTTTGACGTGGACTGATATATAGCTGGTGTTTTAACGTGTACTGATATATAGCTGGTGTTTTAACGTGGACTGATGTATAGCTGGGGTTTTAACGTGGACTGATATACAGCTGGTGTTTTAACGTGGACCGATGTATAGCTGGTGTTTTAACGTGTACTGATATATAGCCAGTGTTTTAACGTGGACTGATATATAGCTGGTGTTGTAACGTGGACTGATATATAGCTGGTGTTGTAACGTGGACTGATATATAGCTGGTGTTTTAACGTGAACTGATATATAGCTGGTGTTTTAACGTGGACTGATAGATAGCTGGTGTTTTAACGTGGACTGATATATAGCTGATGTTTTAACGTAGACTGATGTATAGCTGGTGTTTTAACGTGGACTGATGTATAGCTGGGGTTTTAACGTGGACTGATATACAGCTGGTGTTTCAACGTGGACTGATATACAGCTGGTGTTGTAACGTGGACTGATATATAGCTGGTGTTTTAACGTGGACTGATATATAGCTGGTGTTTTAACGTAGACTGATGTATAGCTGGTGTTTTAACGTGGACTGATGTATAGCTGGTGTTTTAACGAGGACTGATATATAGCTGGTGTTTTAACGTGGACTGATATACAGCTGGTGTTTTAACGTGGACTGATATACAGCTGGTGTTGTAACGTGGACTGATATATAGCTGGTGTTGTAACGTGGACTGATATATAGCTGATGTTTTAACGTGGACTGATATATAGCTGGTGTTTTAACGTGGACTGATATATAGCTGGTGTTTTAACGTGGACTGATCTTCCCGATCTTCCTTCTATACTGAACCTGTCTAGTACCTTCTTCGCTTTGAAGTCAAATGTGTCTGTTAACGACAGATTTCTCCTTAACTTCTTGGAAATCTGAAACACAATTCATATTCAAAAGTGTAAACTGGCACACAAGACATCTGCAATGTCAAAATTGTACCACTGCAATACATACTGCATTGTTAAAACTGTAACAATGCAAAAACGTCCGATTTGCTTCGAATTACTCGATTCTAAAATGTGTGTTTTTTACTGCTTTTTTAGAATTAATTCTAATATATTTTATTTAATAAAATGTAGTTTAAAATGTAGTTGTAAATTATACTGTGCGTATAGTTCATTGTTTTTATGCAGATGCCCGGCCCATTTATATGAATTTCCTTTGTTAAGGGTGAAAGCGTTACAGAACAAGTACATGTATAAATATATTGTTATCATTACTTGCATAAAATATTTTTTAACAGTATTCATTTGCAACTGACGATCTGAGGATCTGTGCTTTCCTTCCCTCCAATTAAAAATGCGTCCTGACCATGTAATGCCATATCGCTATTGAAATGTAAAACATTGTACAAAAAAATACTAAACCTAACCACATTTGGAAAGTTATTCATTTTCGGCTATACATAGCATGGCGTTACCTGAGCTGGTATGCATTTGCTCTGAGAACATAAACTGCTTGGGCCGTGATACGGGACATGGCCATGTAAACAAGTGAGTAAGGAGGAGGAAAGATACACGTTAATTTGCTCTGAGAACATAAACTGCTGGGGCCGTGATACGGGACATGGCCATGTAAACGAGTGAGTAAGGAGGAGGAAAGATACACGTTAATTTGCTCTGAGAACATAAACTGCTGGGGCCGTGATACGGGACATGGCCATGTAAACGAGTGAGTAAGGAGGAGGAAAGATACACGTTAATTTGCTCTGAGAACATAAACTGCTGGGGCCGTGATACGGGACATGGCCATGTAAACGAGTGAGTAAGGAGGAGGAAAGATACACGTTAATTTGCTCTGAGAACATAAACTGCTGGGGCCGTGATACGGGACATGGCCATGTAAACGAGTGAGTAAGGAGGAGGAAAGATACACGTTAATTTGCTCTGAGAACATAAACTGCTGGGGCCGTGATACGGGACATGGCCATGTAAACGAGTGAGTAAGGAGGAGGAAAGATACACGTTAATTTGCTCTGAGAACATAAACTGCTGGGGCCGTGATACGGGACATGGCCATGTAAACGAGTGAGTAAGGAGGAGGAAAGATACACGTTAATTTGCTCTGAGAACATAAACTGCTGGGGCCGTGATACGGGACATGGCCATGTAAACGAGTGAGTAAGGAGGAGGAAAGATACACGTTAATTTGCTCTGAGAACATAAACTGCTGGGGCCGTGATACGGGACATGGCCATGTAAACGAGTGAGTAAGGAGGAGGAAAGATACACGTTAATTTGCTCTGAGAACATAAACTGCTGGGGCCGTGATACGGGACATGGCCATGTAAACGAGTGAGTAAGGAGGAGGAAAGATACACGTTAATTTGCTCTGAGAACATAAACTGCTGGGGCCGTGATACGGGACATGGCCATGTAAACGAGTGAGTAAGGAGGAGGAAAGATACACGTTAATTTGCTCTGAGAACATAAACTGCTGGGGCCGTGATACGGGACATGGCCATGTAAACGATTGAGTTAGGAGGAGGAAAGATACACGTTAATTTGCTCTGAGAACATAATCTGATTGGGCCGTGATACGGGACATGGCCATGTAAATGAGTGCGTAAGGAGGAGGAACGATACACGTCAATTTGCTCTGAGAACATAAACTGCTGGGGCAGTGATACGGGACATGGCAATGTAAACGAGTGAGTAAGGAGGAGGAAAGATACACGGTAATTTGCTCTGAGAACATAAACTGATTGGGCCGTGATACGGGACATGGCCATGTCAACGATTGAGTTAGGAGGGGGAAAGATACACGTTAATTTGCTCTGAGAACATAAACTGCTGGGCCGTGATACGGGACATGGCCATGTAAACGAGTGAGTTAGGAGGAGGAAAGATACACGTTAATTTGCATATGCTGAATCATCTACTCTACAAGTACAGACTAACTATTTAGCTCTCATTCCGTACCTGTGAGTGACCCAAGGAAAAGCGTGCAGTCGTACATGTGTGTACGTGCCTTACCGAGCGATACTAAATATTGACTTTACTCATATACGCAAAATATCTATTTGTGTTTATATCATGGATTGACATTATCTTTATATTCCACTACTGTAAAATGGCAGCTGAATTACCCAAAAATAGGCAAAAACCGCGTCGAAACATTAAGTGCACCCGGGGACCCTCATACGATCAAACAGGTAGTGGGCATACTTATGGACAATGCTATATTAAAACAGACTTTACAGCCGTCAATGGGTATTGACAATCTCTAGGCCGAGAAAGTAGCATTAAAAGATCGAGTTGACGAAATGGAAAGATACTTCCGACGTAATTGTCTTTAGTTCCGCGGTATCCTTGAGACGGAACGAGAGAGTACTGATGATATCATCTTAATAACTTGTAATGACGCGCTCGGTGTAGCGGTAGTTCCTAGCGATATCAGCAGAACACATCGAGTTGGTCCAAAAAGTGCTGATCGACCTTGAGACATTTATCGTATCGCACGCGAGCTACAGTCTACGAGGCAAGGTTCAACCCGATTAAGTCGAATAAAGGCGAAAAGTCTGGTCAAAAACCACACAAATAAATAAAGCACTGACGAAACAGCGGATGGAAGTGTACAGTAAGACCCCGTGGTTAAGAAAGAACAAACACATATCTGGTACGTTGACGGTCGCATTGTTATTCGCGATAACCACCAGCAAAAGGCGCATGTCACCTCTCTGCGTGAGCTACACAGCTATCCCGACCCCCTCTCCGGCGTTATTGTTATTGCAATTTCACAAGTGTGCACTACTGTCTCTCCATACGATATACATAAGTTTTGTAACGTAAACATACTATACCGTTTTCTAAAGTATTATCTTTACTCTCGAGTGCAACTTGATTTTCTATAATATGTACATGGGAATACAGTTTGAAACAGAAGTGCCTTTTACATCTACCCTTTCTGTGTAAACATTTACCTTGTTGATCAGCGAGGATGATCGTCACGGATGGTATGTTGTTACTGTACACACAGATTCCACTTGTATCGACTACACCCGTTCATAATTGATTTGTCCAAATTATTCTAAAACATTTACCAAAATCTTGACGCCCAACATAATGTTTTCATAATGTTTATAACCTGTTTACTAAATTTACTTTCAATTTTTTTTAAAATATAAAAATAAATCCTTGCAAATATTTCCCAAAACTGTGTTTTGCACATATATTTATAATACTTACCTGTGGTGACAAAGCGTGTTGGTTCGTCACGGATGGTTTCATATGCCTGTGTACAATCAAATTTACGCACCCATAATGGAATTGCCTAATATATATTATACACGTGCTGGATTACCCGTGATGACCGACACCGCTATCTGATTTTACGCCAGTGAGGTTAAACACCACAAACATAATCACTTACACACGAACGGTAGCTTTACTCAAAAGCAGGGCGGATACAAGAGCACGAACAGTAACCTAGTCTCGTTCAACCAGACTCTTGTTGCCTGCGCAAGCTACGCCGAATTACAAGTGATCAAGCGTCTGGTTGAACGAGACTAACAGTAACCATTACATAAATTAAGCCGGTGCCGGGAGGTCCGGAATCTGTCTTAACTATCTTTCGATCCATGTGCGACATGTGTGTGAAAATGACGATTTGTTTCTTAAATATCAGTTTGAATTGCGACCCGGGCGCGGGTCGCTTATTTCCCGCATATTATAGAGGGCCGGAGTTCTGACGTTAATCGACGACAGACCAATATAACAAAAGTCGATAAAATGTCAGAATAATTTGGACTAATTCCCCCTCTGAAAGATAATGGCCCTATTCTCCAACATCCATTTGATCAGGCAGAATGCCTGAATACTTACTTTTCTTCAATTTCTACTTTATCAAATGACCTTGATCCTCCTCCCTCCCGAATTTTATTTCATAATTGACAACATTGTACTAAAAAGGACATCGGAGATCAGTTTTCCACTTTACATAAAAAGAAACCCGTTGGTCCTGATAAAAGTGTCCCAAAATGTATAAAACGACTAACACCTGTGACTCTTCCTCTTACCCTTCTTTGTAACAAATCTATTCCTTTGTCTAGGAAAGCTGCAAATGTCAATGTTATATAGTTTCAAACTATTGTCCTATTTCTGTTACAACATGCTTTAGTAAAAAAAATAAAAAATAGAAAAAGTATTTTTTAAATATCTGTATAACTACTTGCGTGATTGTGAAGTTATTTCTAAGCACCAGTCAGGCTTTATCCACGGAGATTCAACTGTGAATCAAACTCTGTATATATACCATACTATTACTATTTCCAAGACAAAGGGAAAAGGTTCGCTCTGTTTTCTGTGATAGAGGTAAAGCCTTTGATAGAGTGTGGCACGATGGGTTATTATATAGATACTATGGCATAAAAAGAAAAGTGTTAGGGTGGTTTAAAAATTATTCATCTGATAGAAAGCAACGTGTTTTAACCGATGGCATATTCTCCACTTTTAAATCTGTGAATGCTAGAGTCCCTCAGGGATCTGTTTTAGGCCCTTTTATTTTTTTCTGTTATATATAAACAATATAGCTGATATTGTTACCAGTGACTTAAAATTATTTCCAGATGGAACTTCGTTCGGAGAAATTATTGATAATAACCAAATTGTATAGCAAACAAACTTTCAGAAAATCTGTCAAATATTAGAAATCGGTGTTAGAAATGGGATATTAAATTTAACCCTACAACAACTGTAGCATTGATATTCAGTAGAAAACGAAATACACCCAATATATACTTTAATGATAGTACAGTTCAATCTCCCTCTACTCAAACACTAAAGCGTAATATTATCTGATGATGGTAAATGGATTCATCATATTTATTACATATACAAGAAAGCATTTAAAAGGATTAATGTATTTGAAAAATTATCAGAATACATTGCTGAAACTGGCAGATTTGAATAGAGTACTTATACTTTGTTCGATGGGTCGGGGAGATACACTATATTTATTGTTTATATGTTTTGTTAGATAACTGTACCATACCGGAATTATTTGGAGATGGCTTACATAGACTTTGCCTGATGCCAAATTCATTTGCTTCTTTTTGCAATAAAATTTGTTGAAATGAAATATTTAGCATTGAGGCACGATAACATCCGCTACTCCGTACTTTATTGAAATACGTTACACTCCACAACAATGCTTTTGAATGAAGACTGTTGTAAACGTCTTCCCACATGTAAATGATCACATAACAGCTATCTATAAGTGCTTTCTGATTACGTAACAATGAGACTATCTTTATCAAAAAATATTGTCAACCCGTCATAAAGCGTTTATCGCTCGTGTGACCTCGTTTCTTTGTAATAACACCTAAGCGTCCTTTATCAGAAGTCATTTTGTTGATAAAAATATCACCATAACTCGACGTTGGGAGCTAATTGTTTTGTTTAATGGTCTAATTTAGCACTTGTCAGCAACCAACAAATGAACATTAAAAAACATCAGCATTCCTAATCAGCTCTATTACAATAACCCAATACATATTTACTTTACCTGTGTCTAAGTAACATGAAGTACCTGGACATTCAAAGGTGATCCGGTCCTGTGACTCCCTCTACACTCATTTAACAATGACAGCATACAATGACACCATATGTTCTACAAGAAATACACATGAAGTTTAAGCTAACTTATCCTCCATGTTAAATGTCAGGTAGCATTTATTGCGTTGAAAATTATAAAAAAAATGTTCGTATGAAATTCACAACATCATTGTGTACAAGGAAGTTAATATTTATAACATCAATGCACCCGATGTTTACTGCAGTTAAATACCGTATGTGATTATAATGATATAATAATGCTATACTGATCTAGCGTACGTTAATTGTAAATTAACACGGTCAGTTAGCGCTCACCTCCTGCTAAATATCATTTTTGCCGATGTAGGTGTAAACGACATGTCCCGGTACGTGTGTATCCTGGCAGCCACTCTAAACGTTAATCTAATGTGTATGTGTCCGGGTACGTTGTTAGGCTTCTCATGTTCGTCCACAGCTAGCTGACTCACACACGTATACTGTTAAGGGAGACATCAATAAAGCTATATATATAGACAATGGGCTGTATACCTTTGTCATTATAGGTAACAAGCGTTAACAGTATAAACAAGCATCATATGCTTGAAGTAGCATAGGCGGTTCTTTGTGGCGGTTTTTCCATTTGTGGCGGTTCTTTTGGGACGGTTTGTACTGAGTGACCTCTTAACTCATGACGTCATAATGCCTTTGATTTATACTTTCAGATGACGTCACGAGGGTTGTCTGGAAGAGTTGCCTGGACTGCGGGAGCGGTAACACACTACGTGTCCGGGTTTGGACTGCGGGAGTAGTAACAGCTGGACGTGTCTTGATTATGTTGAGAGAGAATACTATTTATTCGCTGCCGTCTGAAGTTAACAATTTCTAGCTACTCTCTCGTTTTAAAACAGTAATGAAATAGAATTGTGATGAAATACGTTTAAAAAAAGTTGTAATGTATATTAACTCTACAATAACAACTATATGTACAATAAATAACATTTTTTCTTACATATTTGGGTTTTTCGAGTTTTTCGGATTACGTTAGTTGATATCTAGCTTTCGAGTTTTGACGACGTCCTCAATTTTTTCGGTTTACGTTATGCTATCTAGCTTTCGAGTTTTGCGACGTCCTCGATTTTTTTGGTTTTCGTTATGCTATCTAGCTTTCGGGTTTCGACGACGTCGTCCTCGATTTTTCGGCTTACGTTAGTTGATATCTAGCTCGGTTTGGTTTGGTATTGTTTAACGTCCTATCAACAGCTGCATGTATGGTCATTTAAGGACGGCCTCCCCTGTGTGCAAGATGCATACGTTCAGTGTATGCGTGTGTTTTGGGAGGCTGCGATATGTTCGGGTTTGTCTCCTTCTGATAGCGCGGAACTGATGCCGACTTTATATTGCTACCTCACTGAAACATACTGCCGAGGACACCCAGCAGGACACAATACCCGATCACATTATACTGACAACGAACGAACCAGTCGTCCAACTCCTAAATTGCTGAGCGTTAGGAATTAGGCAGGAGTAGAATCTACCAGTTATACAGACTCTGGTATGTCTCGGCCAGGGGACAGAACCCAAAGCCTTCCTCACCGGGGCGAACGCTCACCTAAAGGCCAAAAGTGAGGCATTGTCAAGGGAGACATTAGGAAGAAGAAACTTGTTTAGAAAGAAGAGAAAATATAAGATCCCAAAATGAGTCGCCTGTTACGATCATGCAATAGGGGCAGCAATTTAAGTAAAAATCATCAAAAACGATGACTCCAAACAGAATGACCCCGACTCCATAACACCAAAAATCATTGAAGTTTTGGATATTGCCACGCACACCTATGTCGTCAAGGTCTTTCAGGATACCATATTGCCACATAGTATGATAGGCATTTTCAAGGTCAAAGAACACAGCGACAAGGTGTTCTCGTATGAATGTTTCCAGTCTGACCAGATGACCACCTGTTTCTCTTATGTTTTTTAACCTACTTTAAAGAGGTTTTTTTCGTTAAAATATCGATAAATCAATATAGTTTTCATTTCTTTAAGAATAAATACCAAAGCAAGTAAAAATTACTTTGTTTAATGTTTTCTCTGTTATTCTTGATTGGATGAAATGTCTTTGTGAAAACAACCAAAATAACCAAAATCATTTACGGTAAAAGGAAGTAACTACATATATTTTTTCCGGATAATTTGCTATCTTTCAAATTCCGTTTAACTAGTTTGTACTTCCGGAGCCTACAATAAGCTACAATTATCAGTTATTTTCTAGGAAATATCTACCTACAATAACGACTTGCGCAGGAATTCTAAGGTAGGCGTCATCTCGCTATGACGTCATTAAAACCCATCCGTCTATTACACCATACAGTCATGCTTAAACTCGATAACTTCACCAAAACCAACATATTACACCCCCCATCAGGTGAGGGTTAAATTGACGAGGTGAAGGATACATACCGTTAAAAAGGGTCATATCGGTTAATGAACTCTGGTCCTTTTAATGGAGACGAATGTCTTTTATGTAACCAAGTCTTTACCTAAGAAGGATTCGTTATACGAGAGACGTGGAAATATTTTTTCACGAATGTGATTAAAATCCGAACATTTCTATTACACTGCGCATTGTCAATGGATAGTCACATGCGTGGCTTGTACGTGGATCTCCCCGATAATTCCACCCGACAGGACAACCTCCTCTCCGCTTTCGACTGGGCAAACAAGGTCTTGGTTCCACTTTTAAAAGTTTGTTACTGGTCTCAATAAACCATTGTTGTTGTAATTTTATGAATTGCTGCTCAGATGATGGGTTTAAAATAATTAGTTGTTGGCAGATGATTTTGGTTTTCTTGAAGTTAAACACATTTTTAGCTTGTTTATTTTAGAATTTCATTTATTATCTTATGTTCCGACATTGCTCGGAGTTCATAAAAAAAAGAATGAAAAACAAATTTGCATAAAGCTTGTATAGTCCATACTGCAACATCCGATATGGTGTTTTCAGCCACATGTTTGGTATGCCTAATAGATGTTGAGCTCCTACAAGTGATTGGAAATTTGGGTGTGTTTGATATTGCTCGAATAGAGTTCGGTAATTTTGGTTGAAAAGTGGGTGGAAGGCAGGATTTTTTTATGATTTTATTTGGGGTTTGGCGGCAAAATGTAATGATATTGTTTTCTTCTCTCATTAAACAATGATTCATTTGCATCCACTTAAAGGCTTTAAACTGGTGTTAATCGAAGAGATCAAAGTGCTACATGTTCACGTAGCTATTAGTTATGAAACGATCCAGCCTCTGCAGAGAGTAACTAAGTGCCGACCCATTGTCCATACAACCGCAATCGAGCCATGAATCAGTAATCGCTAGAGGAGTAAATAATTCCACGTTCTGCACCCCAATCAGTATGAGATAGGGCGCGTAGAAGGTATAGCGCCTTTAAACATTTATCTTTCCCATACGCTTTTTGTGGAAAGAAAGAAAGCTATGAATAGAGCAACAGACCAGGGAATATGGTTTGTTCAACAGCTGGAATTATGTTTTTAATGCCGGGGTCATTGAATGGTTCTCGTTTTTGACAAAAGTGTAATGTTATATATATCTTGTTATATATTGTTGAAGTTGTCGTTCCATCATGTGCATGTTCTTCGATCTGTATTATATCAAGATCATCCACGAAAAACGATCCTTTGTTGACTGAATGGAACATTTGTGATCAAACAGGTGAAGTGATTTGATTCCACGGTAAGGGACTCCCTTTTTTCCTGCTTCAGAGAAAATTGAACCAACACAGCGACAAGGTGTTCTCGTATGAATGTTTCCAGTCTGATTAGCGTCCTTGTCAGCTCTCGGGATATGTATATTACTGCCGAGAATCTTCCCGGAATCTTCACTTGATTGAATGTATAAATGAGGCATCATAGTGATAACTTTGGTATGCGTTTAGGAAATTGGTACGAAATTTCATCTTGACCGGTGATCGAAACATGTGATTTTCGAGAAAATCTATTAGTTTCGGTAAATGAAACAGTTTATTGTAGCAACATTTGAGAATTTGAAATTAACATGTTTTTATCTTCTTCTTTTTTTGTAGTTTTGAAAGGCTGGAATCTGTTTGAGTAATTAGAATCGATGGGTTTTTAGCTATATTGTTTTGCAAGTAGCGTCGTAGAGCAGCTTTACGGTCAGACCTAGCTTTTAAAAACAAAAATTAGGGAAAAAGAATTTTACAAGTTTTTGAGCGGATTTTGGTATTGTTCTATTTTGCAATAGAAGTCAGTGTTTCATAGAAGGTTTTATTTGCTCATAAGAATATGGTGAAAGATTTTATTTTTTACATGAAATTACATCAAAACAAAAACGTCAATTGAAACAAACAAATATTACAAAAATTTAACACTTAAAAGTAAAGTTGATGAACTATTTTTTCTGGTTAACACAATAATGGAAGATTATTTGAGAAGATTTCATAAACACTATCTCCATATATATATACACTGTAAGAATGACTTCCAAGCCCCATACATATATATATATATATTATAAATCAGAAAAAATTATCCTTATGGACGAAGAAATATCATAAGAAAAATTCTTAACAGCGAGTCTTTAGTACTTTCATCTCTTCTAGGAGATTCTTCAGACTAATTGATATCTCTTATTTTGACCTACAGATGAGTCCAACTTTTGTTCAGCTGATTGTGAGAGGAGGCAATAAGACAAGTTTGGACAAAGGAGAAAGGAGCTAACGACAACGAATGAATCAGACTTACAACACAATACGGGTTCGCCCCGACACTGGCCCAGGATTGGAATAATATCCCCTCTTACTCCATCCAACGTTTCACCAGCTCAATACGGGGACGTAGCAATTCAGTGATCATAACCAGCGGCGGCTATACATGCTACTAAAGCGAATGGGTTACAAATATGACCCTACCTGTATCCCAATAAACCATTTGATACCGAGTTTATAATGAAAACATGTGACAGCCGCCATCGTAACAATTGCTAAATATTATATTGGCCATTGATGTATTACACAGTCACAAACACCTGTGTCTGTTGAAAGTAGAAAAATATTCAATCTTATACAAAAAACATCTTAGTATTGATATGATATTAAATAAGTTATTGTTGAATCACCAATTGTTTTACGCAATATGAAACGATTGCTAAAATTAACATCCAGTCGGTCAGGAATTAACTTGAGACCAGCACAGACAAATTGTCCATAAGGCACACCATCCTGAGCAGCAGACAAGAGCAAGCCGACTAAGTCCCGCAACAATAATAACACATATTATAAAACGAGAAAATCGGAAAACAAATAAATGTCTAGTATCCAAAATGAATACCTGAATCGTCCCCAAATACAGTAGATATATTCAAACTAATCAAGTAATTGACAGCTTTAAAAGAAATTAGAATATTCATTGAACTATCATCAGTCAGATCAGATATGGAGTGAATTAAGGATAGTCTTTGGTTTATATAGAGAGGACAATGGAGGAAGTGATTACAGTCTTCAGTGGGATAACCACACATTAAGGCAGGGCTATCGTTTAAGCGGGAATTAAGTAAATCCGAGCTCAGATCATTAAAAAATAAAAATAAATAGCATTTAAACTAGCATTACTAAGTTGGTTTGTGCAAATGGCACATCGAAGGGTCAATTTTAACGAAACCGATAATTGTCGGTGTGATGATAAGAATATGTTTGTATTGAATCGTACACATGATTGGTACATCTAAAACAAGTTATTGAAGAATATGCTAGGATGCAGCGTCTCGGAGTCAATGCGTCTTGAGAAAATGAGTCTCTGTTTAGGTCGGGTTAAAATTACTCACCATTATTTGCCCATATAGAAATTCTTCTCAAAACATCATTAAAATTGCCCGTTTTCTAAAGTAAGACTACATAATGAGGTGTTATCTGCGAGCAATTTGACATTAGAAACCAAAAGTGAACCAATATCGTTGGCTGAAAAACTAACCCTTGCGGGTACCCCTACCTGTAGTGTTTCCTTCCGATTAGATTTGTATCCCCCATGACCACTCTCTGTCTCCTATCAGTAAGGCAAGAAGAAAACCATTGCAGCATGTTATCACTTACTCAATAGGTTTTTGATATCGCTTAAAATCGTCTAAGTAGTTCATCAAATTTACTGAAGGAAAAAGAAACGTAAGAAAAGACCTTTACCTTTGAAGAAAAAAATGTCCTGGGCATATCTTCTATAATATTTCACTTGGATTAACCAGATTTGGTGTTCAAGGACATCTTGGGATGTCGGAGTGCAAGAAATATGTATCAGGATACTTTCCTAACAGTAGGTACATTCTGACAATTGTGCTGTTTGTTAAATAAACATGTACAAATAATGAACGGTGGGGGACTAGAGATTGCATTGCAATATTTTGCCATGTTTTGTAGCGCCTTGCTTGGCAACACCTCATTTTGGCTTTAATGTCGAACGTTCGCCCAGGTAGGGAAGGCCATGGGTTCTGTCCTCATGCCGGGACATACTAAAGTCCTTAGAAATGGTTATTCCTTGCTTAACTTTCAGCATTAAGGGTTATGGTAATGCTTCATCCGTTGTCAGTATAATGTGACCGGGTGGAATGCTGTGCTAGGTCCCTTGGCATGATATTTCAGTGAGATAGCACTATAAGGTTGGCATCAGATCCGCGCTATCACAAGGTGGTAAGCATTGACACGCTTACGCAAAACATGGGGGCACGTCCTTAAATAACCTTAAATGTAAATAGGACGTTAAACAAAATGCAACTTAACCAAACCAAACTTATGGTGTAAAACCACATTCGATTGTATTACATGGCAATTTTACGAATGTAAGATACCATATACTAATGTTGGGAGTACCTTACTATGAACTATGAATTCCTAAACAACTAAACATCTAATGAATATTTGGTAATTTGTTTATGAAAGATAAAAAAAAAATTAAATATTCACAACACTTGTTTTAAAGTTATAGCCAACCTCTGGCCTGTTTCTTTTTCCCTTCACTTAAATCACTATGTTAAAATCCTGACTGAATTTTGAAGAGAATGTTATCTCTCGGGAGATTTAACGTGTATTTTTAAAACATTTTTTTCAAACAATTTGCAAAAAATAGTAACTGATATGTGTCTGTAGTTAGATGGGTCACTTCCATATTTTGTACCACCCTCGCCGTTATATATTGGTGTAACATGAGTTTCTCCAGTGTTATTGTACTTCTAAGATCAAAATCAGAAAGTTTGGCATCAAGAATATGAGTTTTGTTCCTCAATGAACACATATTAACATGACACACAGAGATTTTAACTAGACGACTATTAGAATCATTAGGAGGGCCGAGATATAACGCAAATATAGTTGTAGGAAATATGATCCATTAAGAAGTTTAAATGCCAGTACATTGTATAATATATAAAAACTGTCATATTGAATTACTTCCAGGTGTTTCAACCAACATTACTCACTATAGGAAATATAATTGGTGAAAGACCAATTAACGAATCACAACATATTGTGAGCGAGAAGAAAATAATCCGACAGTTGCTATTTTTCGGAATGCCGTTTATCATTGACAAAGCGTTCCCTTTCTGTTCTGTCCTGGTGATTAAGTAACCGTTAAAGCATACAGGTGTAATTTATTTTCATCTGATAAATTTCTAGCAGGTAATACCTTACCTTTTTATAATACATGTATATCAAATATACAACTGGTTAAAAAACATTGATATTCACCGAAAACACAACTAACACTTATTTATTCAACTAAATTAGATTGACTCTGTTGTATGGAATAAATGTAAAAGTACAACTTGACTATAATTATCATTTGATAAGCTGGATACACCTACATGTAGTAAACGTTGTTACGTTTGAGTGTGAATTTTCAATATATACGTCATCCATGGCGTGACTTGTGTGGATTCTGAAACGTTGAAGTTAACTCTGTGGCGGGTTTCAGATCGAAGGGGATCTCATACGTTGCTTTTGAACCATGTTTGAACATGATACACGCGGCTGGAGGGTGGATCTGGTGCAGGAAGATGATGACGCCGTCCGTGTGTTCGCCGCCTTGATTCAAGTCTGTCAACATGTACCTATACGGGCCGACCCCAACCACGTCCACAGGATAAGGTATCTGCAGAAGCGAGTTAATATGTAGACTGGTTAAATTAGTTTTAGCATCTCAAAATATTACTCATAAATATGCAAAATGGTCTTCACATAACCAACATTCTCCTTTACAATCATTGATATATGTTGACCTCTTTTTCACATTGAGCTACATGTACGTATGTATTGCATGTAAATAAAATCGCATACTAACCGCAGAGTAAGAATTGATGCAGATATCCAATACATTATCCCAGGTTAGATCTTCAGCTGTATTTTATATTGGTTATGTTATTATTTTGGAAAGACATCAATTACAAGCGAGACATATTTTTCAGGAAAATCAGGATGATTTGTAAATGGCGTGTTATACCTTATTTGTCGCACCTGCCAGTAGATCTAGGTATGTTGTAAGCGGTTGTATATTGACCAAAACGTGGTTGGTTGTTGCACCTGTTTAATGATTGAAAATAAAAAGGTAGTTTGTAGTGCTTAATGCATACGATATTATATTTAATATTTCATTTTTTTGAGATACATGTATAATAAGATTTGGGATATGGTTCTGACGGTTGTAATAATTCTGTCAAACAAAATAGAAACTACGAATTCATCAGAAACGTATACTGTCGTAGAAATTTAACCTTAGACTGACGGAAGAGTTTGATTGTAAACCACTTGGTTCATTACACGTACAGGTTTTAGAACAAGGTTAGCCAATATTGGTAATATATATATAGTAGATAGAGGCTACTTAACGAGTGGTTGTTGGATGTGGTAATTATTTTAATCGAGCTAGTGAATTTTCAACAGTTACTTTTGAAAATTAACTAACGAGAGTGAAATAAATACCATACGAGTCGTGTGACCTGTTTCTACCACAATATCAGTCGGAAACAGCTGGAGTGTGACCTGTTTTTTACCACGGTCTCAGTCGGAAACAGCTGGACTGTGACCTGCTTGAAATGACCCATATGTAAAATGTCAATTATTGATATTCAAAAATGACTTCATTTTACAAATTTTATAATTTTCAAAGTCAATTGTTCGACAAAATCCTTTATGACAAAATAAAGTTGATAAACGTCTTCAAATATGCTGCATTGCAGTCTGCCTCCCGCTAAGTGATAAATAGACCTAATCGCTGTCATTGTCTAAAACCATAAACGTGGGACGTTTCTTCGGGACGATTTCATGGTTGACGAATACAGTGAATGTTCCGTCATAGACAGGTCAACCAGATAGTGATAACGGGCCGTGGGGAGAACGAAACATTTTCTGACAGCGATATATCTTGTTTTGGTTTCACGAAGGTAAGACGTTGAAACGATATCGAGCCTCTGTATTATTTTGCCTGAAACTAATTCAATATGAAGGCGATCAAAACTTTGAGTATTATCATCTTTTGTTATTGCCTTAATCACCCCCTTTTTCCATTGCATAGCCTCACAAAGTTACTAACATTTGCCGGTAATTCGTCTTCATGCAAAGTAGCCATGTTGACAGCAGACGATGCAAACAAAACAACACGTTGTACAAAGTGCGTGAAAAAGTAGTCCCGGTCGAATTTCATCTTCTCGGCAAATTTAAACACTTGAAGACCATATGCATGTACCACGTGTGCTTCACGACCATATGTATGTTCCACGTGTGGTAAATAACTTATAACTCATACTTATCTTAAAGTCTGCATGTGTATACAATTCGATCTGAGAGTGGAATAACACAGCGTATTGTGGTAGAAAAAGCCAAATGACCAGTGACAATTTTCAAAACATTATTCTTTCTTTCGATATAGTTCTAATTTGATATATTAGGGTAAGAGATGACTTGCACGGTCAGGCTATTTACATTACAATATAAATTATAATAAAGTTACACATCTTCGTGAATTGGTTTGTCCCTACGTAAATACGGTGGTCATTTTCCGACTTAAGAATGGACATTTCTTTGATAAACTAGTGCCTTTTCTTCCTTCTTTAGTGGATAAACTGTCAAAAACTTAAGAAAAGAAGGGTAAAATTTTAGATGAGACACGTTCTGCTCTATACCATCAACAGTAACCCTAGCAATAAATATACGTACCGCCTGTAAGGCTAACTGATGCCTTGCCTCCCATCAGGATGTGGTACGAGACACCTGTATCAGTACCCAAGGTTTTTACAACGTACACGGTAACGGTTGCCAAGGGTCTCCTCAATACGTCATCTGGACACGTAAAAGAGCAACATTGTGACACACGAAAGAAGGATTGAAATATCGCATGACTCAAATTAATTGATAGTTGCAAAAATAGGAAATCTGTTTGAGGATCTTTTTTCCGTTTGATGTTTATTTCCAAAGCGGATGGGTTGTTGCTTATGGGACTTCTCAAAGTCAGTGTAGATACCTGTGAATGAAAAGATATATTTCAGCTTTAAGTTCCTTTTTTCGAGCTCCTAATTAAGAAAAGCGGATTTGAAACCATGGAAAGTAATTTTCGTTTGAATCAAATGTAATCAGCATATTTTATGGCAAGTCTTTACCTTTTTTTCTATTAAAAAGTAAAACGTATGTACAAAGGTAGCAGTGTACAGTAGAAATGGCTTGACCATAAAAATAAAGGGCATGTCTCAGATAAACATGGATAGTGAATTCAACCTACATATATATATATATTTATAAACTACATTTTGATTTCATTTTGTTTAGAAGACTGTTTTTTTTCAAAACCTGTTTTCCCCAGATTTGGGACTTGTGAAAACCATGGNCAAAATATCACCCATGGCCATCGTACGCTACTGTGCACTGCTTCCATAAATGCATCACTTTCTTTTTCCCAAAATTTAATTAAAACCTTTTAAATGTCTGAAAAATGACAATGAACAAAACGATGTATCCGTTTCCTTTCTCCCTTCAATAATGACCGAGTAATGTATTCTCCTTAATGTAAGACAAGTTCCACTGCTCTGGCAGCATCAGCATTGTACGCCTGTTCATCAAAAAAACATAGTTTAAAACTGTTATGCAATATTTAAAACAATATAATCATATAACTCACAGATTAAATAACTTGTTAAAACAATAGCTGATATTGATAAATATTACAATGCAAACCTGTTTAATTTTCGCGTTTTCCATTTTTTTCTATTGAAAGTAAATGAATCATATTATGAGTAGACTATTCGTTAATTACAATTGTGAATAATTATACATTTTCTACATACCTGCAATATAAGATCAAACCCAATACAAACAAATATTTCCGGTAACTAGATGAAACCAAAACAAAAGGAAATACAAAATACTTTCCGAGAAACTTTAATTTCTTTATGAGTGAAAAGCATATTTAACACATTCAATTACTTCAAAGATTTAATTTAACAGTCCTGGCCTTTCTGTATAAGTAAGTTTAAACTGGTACATATCAGTCAAAATAAGATTGTACGATGTTTTTAAATATAAAATGAAAGCAAAACACAAGCCTGTATTTCTTCGATCAGTTGTCCAAATCGCTCTCAACGATCCGCATGATAGTAATAATAAGAGGGTCTTATATACCGCTTTATCACAACCTAGTAGGTCGTCTCAAAGCGGGGGACACATTATTATCCCTGGTTATAGCGCCAGCCAATATCTTTCTCAACTCCCTGGGGAGCATACAGCCGGTGCTTCAATTTCAACGCTCATAGCTACAATTCTAACACTGCCCTACCACGTACCCGCGTACTACAGCTGAGTAGCCCGGAAACAAGCGGGGCAAAGTATCTTGCTCAAAGATACAACACATTGCCGTGCCATGACTCTAACCCGCAACCCTTCGGTAACGAGCCTGGCGTCCTACTCCTTGACTACCGCGCCTCCTAAGGTCAGTAAGGATAGGTATATTTATGTAGTAGGTACATTTATGCAGTTGTGTCTGAAGACTAAGCATCTTATAACGCCATACTTGCCTGCACACACTATTACAGTAGAGGCTTACAGAAAGATATAGGCTAAAACTCCGAAACGTTTTTTTTCTTTTTTGGGGGGTTGGGTATATTGGAATCACCCCGTCTGAACGTCTGATTGTCTGTTCTGAATATTGTGTCAGAAAGAACTTAATCTTCAACGTGATAGCCTGTCAACGAAACGTCCGGAAGTGCACTTATCTTGCAAAGAAATGTGTACATGTTAGACATTGCAATCAGATAGCAGTGTGTTTTCCCTGTCCATCACTTCCAGGTATGTAACAATTGTTTTATACATGTGTATTTATACTGTTAAACGGAATATAATAAGAGGTATCAAATTACTGGAAAGTTCACTATTCATTGTCTGCGGGTGAGTCCTCTACGCCACCGCCATCCGTCCCCCGTATGTATTAGCACTTGGAATTCTTTTCTAGCTACTTTCTGTTTCAGGCGGTATCTCCAAAGGCACCCGTCATGTATGCTCCTTTCTGTTGCAAATCTATTCATATCCGTATACGTGTTCGTGTTATTGTAAGTACATGCTCCCCTGCTATCATGGGCTTAACTTGAATGAATGTCTATAATCTTTTGTGCTACTATGCCCAGTCATATATTCCAGTTAGCTGGATATTCCTGTTTATTACATAAAAGCCGGTTATACGTGGACAAGTAGGACGATCATACTGTACCGACGTGTGAGCGTTATACTTCAGTTGTCAATTCTTCAGATTGCACATACTTCCTAGTCTAATTCAAATGTTTACCTTCACTACCAGCTCTGTATGGTATACTTACATTTCCCTGCCTTCCACACCAGCTTTACCCGTTCGGTATACGTATGTTACTCTTCCATATCAACTCTGTATGGTATACTAACATGTTCTGCCTTCCACACCAGCTTTACCCGTTCGGTATACGTATGTTACTCTTCACTATCAGCTCTGTATGGTATACTAACATTTCCCTGCCTTCCACACCAGCTTTACCCGTTTGGTATACGTATGTTACTCTTCACTATCAACTCTGTAGGTTATACTTACATTTCCCTGCCTTCTACACCAGCTTTACCCGTTCGGTATACGTATGTTACTCTTCACTATCAGCTCTGTATGGTATACTTACATTTCCCTGCCTTCCACACCAGCTCTACCCGTTTGGTATACGTATGTTACCCCTCACTACCAGCTCTGTAGGGTATACCTACCTTTTACTGCCTTCCACACCAGCTCTACCCGTTCGGTATACGTATGTTACTTTTCACTACCAACTCTGTAGGTTATACATGTACTTAAACTGTATCTGTCCCTGGCTTCCAATCTAGCTTACACGTTCGGTATACGTAATGGTGTACTTTACTACCAGCTCTGTAGGTTATGCTTACATATCCCTGCCTTCCACACTAGCTCTACCCGTTTGGTATACGTATGTTACTTTTCACTACCAACTCTGTAGGGTATATTAACATTCCCCTGCCTTCCACACTAGCTCTACCCGTTTGGTATACGTATGTTACTTTTCACTACCAGCTTTGTATGGTATACTTACATTTCCCTGCCTTCCACACTAGCTCTACCCGTTCGGTTTTATACGTATGTTACTTTTCACTACCAACTCTGTTGGTTATACATGTACTTAAACTGTACCTTTCCCTGGCTTCCACTCTAGCTTACACGTTCGGTATACGTAATGGTGTACTTTACTACCAGCTCTGTAGGTTATGCTTACATTTCCCTGCCTTCCACACTAGCTCTACCCGTTTGGTATACGTATGTTACTTTTCACTACCAGCTTTGTATGGTATACTAGCATTTCCCTGCCTTCCACACTAGCTCTTCCCGTTCGGTATACGTATGTTACCCTTCACTACCAGCTCTGTACGATATACTTACATTTCCCTGCATTCCACACTAGCTCTACCCGTTTGGTATACGTATGTTTCTTTTCACTACCAAGTCTGTCTGTTATACTAACCTTTCCTGCCTTTCACACTTGCTCTGTCGGATTTACTAACCTTTCTCTGCTTCAATACTAGCTCTACCCGTTTGGTATACGTTTGTTTCTCTGTAATACCAACTCTGTCTGGTAAACTTACATGTCCCTATCTTCCACACCAGCTCTTCAGCGTTCATTATTCTACCAATTCTATCGGTTATACCATCCATGTTCCGCCTTCCACACCGACCCTTCCTCATCGGTATACATCACCTGCAGGACTCGGTTTGAGTAAACTTATAATGTCAATAAAGATTAAACTGTTCCGTGCGCGCCGTTTTAACAATAGGAACATATTTACCGCTGTAAGATAGTATGAGATTTTTTTTTATTGTTTTATTACAACTGAAAACAATGTATACTGCATTTTGACGTTTGCGAATTTTAGTCAAGTTTACCTTCGACTGATTTTTGTTTGTTACCAGATTTTAATCTTGGATCCACAAAAATATAATACTCAAACGGTCAACAACTCATACAAAGCAATGGCAGCTTCAAAACACTACCCACACCTTAAATGTTGAAAACAGTAGCACATCCATATAATGACCCACGTTGTATTTGCCACCTTACTTACCGCCTAAAAGGTGTATGTTATCAAAGCTATAGAGAAATCCGCCGAGACGAGGTTCTCCTGGCTCGTCTCTTGATTGGTCATTCATACAGTACCCATTCTTATTTATTGAGAAACGAAGACAAGCCTCAATGCACAGCATGTCACGAACCATTTACAGTGAAACACTTTTCATTAGATTACATCGACCTTCAACCAGCAAGAGAACATTTTTAAAATAATTCAACACAACTCAAATCACTTTTCGAAACAATAAGTATCTCTACAACTTCAAACTACCTAAAACCTGTTGGTCTGTTAATAACTAACTTCTAGCCACTTTAACTATTTTTGAAGTTGACATTTGTCTTTACCTTTTCCTTTGTTTTTTTTGTGATTTCCTTTTACGTGTTTTGTCTATTTTTACTGGCCTTAAATACCTCATTTGTGTTGATGGGCCGTTAAGAATCAAATAATAATAATAATTTATTTATTTCAAAGTCCTCTCTACTGTTATTGTCTGAGGTATGCACTTTTTAGCACTTTTTATATTATAAGTGTCTCTCTCAAGTTTCTGTTATTGTCTGATGTATACATTTGTTTTATTATTAGTATCTGTCTAAAATAATGTGATTGTCTGATAAAAAAATCTTTTTTTTTTTGTAAAAGATAAGAGTTGAAATACAATATAATCAGCGAAACATCAAAAATGGAGAGATGACATCTTACTATTTATAAACCCACACTGCTACAGAAAGTGCCACATAATTAAAAAGAAAAACAATAAAAACATATAAATGTTTCATACAGCTTGTAGTAGAGTATAAAACAAGAAATTCATTCAGACCACGCCATTTAATAGAAATGAGTTTTTACAAACGATAAGTAGCGAAACGCATTTTT